AGCTGGGGGTGGGCTGGGGCTGGGGGTGGGTGAGGAGGGCGGAGCGGGCGGCGGCGGGGCGGCAGTGGGGGCGGCGACCCCCATCCCATACACGGCTTCGCCGCTTGTTTTCGTCCCCGTGACAGGCACAGGGGGCAGGACCGGAGGGGGTGCTGAGGGGGGCTTGTGTAAGTCCCATGGCCGAGTTTGACAGAAACGGCAAGTTCTGACATCGGGCCCCCCGGAGCGCGGCGGCCTCTGCCGAGGCGAGGGCCGGCTACTCCCCTGCGACAGTCAGCCGTCCCGAGCACCCAGCAACAAGGGTAGCCAGTAGCCAGCTCATTATTTGTGCTTCGCTGTGATCGTCACAACTTATCAATAAGACCTGCGGACCTTCCGCCCCTCCGGGCCGGGCGCCCCAACTATATTTATTTAGGTATTTTATTACTGTAAAGAAAACCATGAAGAGAAGAACATGCGACGGAAATTGACTGCTTATCAATTGTTTTTGCAGACGATTTCTGGAAAACAATCAATTGAAAGATTTTGATGTTCAGGCACTTTCTTTCCTAAGTTTCTTCATAATAATATAATACCTTTTTTCGAAGCAACTTCTGCTTTGCAGTTACAAAGCCATGCCTTAATAAATGATCCTTCGCAAACTACGAAGCTCTAGAAAACTGTGAGACCAGGCCTACAAAGCACTGCTTCGAGCCCAAAACTTTGCAAGCTATTACTGTGCTTGTTTGAAGTAAGAATTGCGCTCAGACATACGGAACGGAAAAGCAATTGAATGTTCTCGACGGAAGCCGCCTACGAGTCAGCACAGAGATGGGTACAAGTTGTCGAGGTTTCCAAACCAACCCTGCCGGGCGCGCTGCCGCAGCGCTGCCGCCTCTCCGGACGTGCCGAGGCGCGCCACTCCAGGTGCTCCAGGTAAAAGCCGAGACGGGCATAATTGTGTATCTCGGGCGACGTAATCAGAGCGGCGCGAAGTCAACTCGGGAACTTGGGCGGGAAGAGGGAGGGGGGGTGGGGGGTAGGGGGTGTAAAGGGGCTGACGTGATAGTGCCGCTCCTCGAGGGGTAGGTGTAATTGTTTGGCGTACAGCAGGCACATTGTTTAGCATGCGAGGGGGAGGGGGGGCGGACGGGGTAAAGAGTGGGGTGCGTGTAGGGAGTGGGAGAGAAAGAGGGGTGGGGGGAGGGGGTGGGGGGTATCCTACCTATTCATACCAATTTCCAGCCGACACTCCTGCTTGACATGAAAAATTATGGAGCGTGCTCGGGTTGGGTACGAGACGAGAGTGCGGCAGAATACACCTGTTATGTCTGCTTGCAGCGCACTCTACTCTACTCCGCTCTGTGCGCACCCAGTGAGAGGGAGAGAAAGTAAAGAAAGTGCGAGGAAGGAGAGTGCGAGAGAGGGAGAAATGGGAGAGAGGAGTGTGTGTGTGAGAGAGAGAATAACAATTATTAGTTCCCTCGGGTGAACCCGGAGCAATAAAGGTCGTATTTATGGCGCGCGATTCTTCCTGACTCGACCCGACCCTCCTTCCATGCAAATCTCAACCCCTTTTTTTTTCTCGTTTTATCTCCCTCCAACCCCTATTTTTCCCTCCATTCCAGTGAAGTAAAGGTAAATGGTGGCGACGGCCATCATCTAGATTCTGGAGGGCAATCTCGATGGCCCTTCCCTAGTGAGAAGGTAAATAGGTTTCCTCTGCATGCCTGTCGGTGCGTGGGCGTCTGCGTAACGGCTAGGGGCGAGGTTCGCCACCTCCCACACTCCCTTCCTCCCGCCCGTGTGTCGCTAGCACTCTCAGGTCCAGGGCCCGGCCCGGCAGGACCGCGGGGGCTGAGGCAGTGTGTTGCCTAACCTGCCCCTGCCCCTCCACTTTGGCGTGAAGGCCCTTCACCGCCGAGTGTCCCTTTTTGGGGCCCGGGCCGCGGCAGGGCGGGCCTCTGGGGGACCCGGCCCTCAGGCCAGGAGCGAGCACACCCCTCGCCCCACCCCCACCTGCCGCTCGTTCGTTCGGCCGCAGTTTGAAGTGCCTCTGCTTTGTTGTTTCACTCGTCTGCGACACGAGGGGTGGTGGGCGATCAAGTTAGCCGCGCGCGCGCACGCCGACGCGCTGCCGAATCGCGCATCTCGCACCATTGAACTTGCACGCCGCAAAGAGGCATTCGACGACCCTCGTACTTTTTAGGTTAAGTAAATGACTCCGTTAAGTTACTTGTTCCTCCCCAGGGGACGGGGACGACTGGGAGCGGGTCCAGGGGCACAAGTTTCAGGCGCAGCCCCCCTCCCCACCACCCTCCGCAGCTTCGACAGACCGGAAAGCTCCTCGACCCCCCCAACTCCTCCAACTCCCGCACCCGCACTCACTCTAACAAATTTCGAATGGTGTTCACGTACGGGGAGCTACACTTTTCACTAGTGTGAGACTATAGTCTCTAGTAGTATACTACAAATTAGTTAATCCAAAGCACCTTTCGTACATAAACTTATGATGAGCACCAAAGTGCTCGATTGGGGGCATACCCGAATACCCGAATCTAATAAAGTATGAAACAGTGTGGGGTGGGGTGCACTACATTAGCTAAATGTATGGAAGTCTCACACTCAACATAACGTCGGTGTACTCTCCTAAAATTAAGAAAGGCCTCTGCCGCCGCAAAATGACCCGAGGGGTTGCAGAAGGGCTTTGGCTCCAGGGGGGGGGGGGGGGATGGCCACCGCCGCCGGGGCTCAGCACCACTGATGTGTATTCCATGCACACTCACAACCAAGTCTGGGCCCGGAGCGGCGGGGTGTCGGGAGGGGCGGCGTGGTGCAGCAAAGGCCGACTGCACATCAAGGCCCGGCCGTGCATGGAGCGGAGGGGCGGACTAGGGGGGCAGCCCTGCAGCAGGCCGATCGGCAGACGCGACGGCGCTGCCAGGGCGGGGCGAGGCGGGGCCTGGGGTGGAGCCTGGGGGCGCCCCAGCCACCACCGGCAGTGGCAAGCAGGGGTGGAAATGGGGGCCGGGCCGGGGTAGGGGAGCAGTTTACCCAGAGCAGGAGAAATTGCTGATGTATGGAGCAGAG